TATTCAAACGTTTGTTAGACAAACTGGGTGGGTACAATCAGCAGAGTAGAACCAATTAGCTGAGCATATTAATTATTTGGTACAAATGACAGAGTGGATTATAAAGTCAGCTGAATCCTTGTTAGAAACATTCTTTTGGATTATAAGATATGGTGAATTCTTATAAGTGACCTGACAAATAGTTTGGCAAAATAAATGTTGAATTATTGTAATATAATCTGTCAAATATGCTATAAAAACTATGCACATATCGTCGCTGCAAAGAAAAACTATCTTAGGCCCATTTTATGCAAAATGTTTTGGTTTAAAATACTCACTAAGTGCACAAAAGTCAACTCACAAAGTATGGAGCCAAAATCAATTCAACTTTTGCAACTATGAGTAAAGTTCAAATATCTTATGTCCTAAAAAAAATAATTAAAAGACATTGTTGCAGCAAAACAAAACTATAAACTAAGTCCGTTTTTTTAGCTAAAAAAAAACTTTTTTTGGTTTAAAATAATTAATACATATAATTAAAAACTGAAAACAAGTAGATTTAATCAAAAAAATCAAAAGCAGTGATTAAATTTAAAACTATCTTTTTCTGAGAAAAACCAAAACGGGCTTAAGATTGTCTTGTTTTACAGCGGCAATTTAATTTGTAGAATTTTGTCATATTTTATATAGTTTTAAGATTATCTCAAGTCCATTTGCATTGTTGTTTCTCATAAACTCAAATGTCTAATTTTTTATTTGTTATATTATGAAAAATATAACATATTCTATTAATATTAAAAAAAAATTTGGTTTAATTAAGAAGATCAAACGCAGTGATGATTAAAAAACTTTAAATGTCTTTTTCTCAGAACAGCAAAAATGGACTTAAGATCTTGTTTTGCAGCGACGATATACATGTGCATGAAGTTTGAAGTGCATTGAAACTTAATGGTATAAAGAATCAATACAAGTACAATGCGTCCCGTTTGATTGAAGGTTGATGGTAAAAAGGATACATTGTCAATAGTTAATTTAAAACTACTGATGGTATATATATATTTTACCATTTAATTCTAACATGTGATCTGCCAAATTATTTGGCAGATATCATATTTGTATACGGCAGATCACTTTTTTTATTGGTAAGGTATTTACTACCTAACACAAAAAACATTTGTGCACAAGACTTAAATCTCTAAACGCTTTATTCTTTCTTGGATTAACTTTCAATTTAGAATACTTTGTTTAAATGTGATCTGCCATACTATTTGAAAGGTTGTTTAGAAAAATTCAGAGAAAGTTGGCAGGAATTCAAAAACCAATTTGCAAACGTTTGTAAATTGGTTTCTGAGGTAGCAGAAAAAATTCCCCGGGAAAAAATCCCCCCGGAAGATATCCCCCTTAAAAAATCTCCCCGGAAATTGTTTTTTACAGCGCATAAAATAAACGATATATCAAATTTACAGTTGTTTATATTATAAATATTTTACACATACGTATTATAATATAAACAGATCCCTAATCCTTCATTTTTTAATAACTCACAAATAGGTAGAACATACAAGAAGTGCCACTACATTGACTAAGGGTTTTGGTTTGCGCGGGCAATCTATCAATTTCAAAGCAATATATATTTTTTAATTCTATTTTTGCAAAGAATTTTTTTTCGGGGGGATTTTTTGTGCATGCAATCGAAATGTAAACACTCAAATAAATGATACTTATCTACTTAACCTTGTTTTAAATTATTAGCTCTGTTTTATTACAGATATTTGCAAAAAATTTTAAGATCATAGTTAATAATAATAGGCCATTAAACTTAACATAGTTCAACACTTTGTCAGCAAAGTGTTGAACTATGTTAAGTTTAATGGCCTAAGATAAATTATCTAAGGCCAAAAGTCATCTAAGACCAAAAGTCATCTAAGACCAAAAGTTGAAGCCCCAGCCCCCGCCCCCGCAAAAAAAAAAACCCAGCCATTAAGACCTCAAGCTGTTAAGAAATTTTTCACTTGGTGTTACCAATAAAAAAAAGCTCCTTAATTTTCCAAAAGAGCCCCCTAAAATTGCTGTGTAAATAATTTTAAGAGGCCCTTAAAATTGGGTGTATGAGGAAGCCTAGCCACGGCTCTGAGGGACATCAACATTAAAATTACAAATAACAGAGTTTTTCCATTTTTTAAAACAAACTGATTAATATTAATGAGAAATTATTTAAACCATAAATTTGTTACTTTCAACCCTCCTCATTCCTCATAGAAAAACTTAAAACGAGATGCGCTTTTGAGTTATTGCACTTAGTACTGTATCAAGTACGTCCGAAATATTTAAATATATAAACAAAATAACGAGATTTATAAAACGGTATTTAAATAAAATACTATAAATGAAATTAACATGAAATGGTAAATATTTTAAATTCATACTGATGAAATTTCGATCTTAATATATTGTATGAAAATAATTTTAAAGATTACTTATGGGGAATGTGATATTTTAGTTACCAAATAATAATAATTTGAAATATTTTTAAAAGTACCTGGAAGATGTAATGTTTTAGAAGCCTGGAAGAAGAAGGAAAGATGTGATATTTTAAAAAAAAATATTAGTTTCTTATTTGTGATGTGTGTATATATATATATATATATATATATATATATATATATATATATATATATATATATATATATATATATATATATATATATATATATATATATATTTATATATATATAAATATATATATATACAGTACTGTGAATATGTTTTAGACCACTTATATAATTAGTTGTATTTTTAATTTTTTTCCTGTGTATTTTTTTTTTAAGCATACTTAAGTTGAGTAATATTTGAGAAAGGTTGAAAGAATATATTATCTTGAATAAATAAACAAAAATTTATGAGGAACATGAGGGACATTAATACAGCAACTGGGAAAAATGTTATCTCTTCTTGTATTCGACTACACCTACTCAAATCAGGATTACGAGGCTGCGTTGCTATTCGAAAACCTTTATTACGGCGTGGCAATAGAGAAAAACGACTTAAATATGCAAAACAACACAAAGATTGGACCCAGGAAATGTTCAATCGGGTTCTGTACACTGATGAGTCTAAATTTGAAATTTTTGGAACGAAAAGACGTCAATATGTTCGAAGAAGAATAGGAGAAGCCTATCAGCCCGAGTGTTTAAACCCTTCTATTAAACATGGAGGAGGCTCTTTACAAGTTTGGGGCTGTTTATCTTCATCTGAGGTAGGTGATCTGATCAAAATAGAGGGATGACTTACCGGGGAACATTATGTGGATATTCTAAGACAGCATGCTATACCATTCGGAGTGAGACTAATGGGCCATAATTTTATTCTGCAGCAGGACAATGACCCAAAACATTGTTCCCGAGTGGCAAAAAATTATTTAAATGAAATGGCAGAAGAAGGAATACTGGAAATGATGACCTGGTCTCCCCAGAGTCCAGATTTGAATATAATCGAGCATATTTGGGATTACTTGGACAGGAAATGCTTCCCGAAATGCTGAAGAATGTTTTCAAGTACTTCAAAGACAATGGCACAACATACCGCAGGATTTTATCCCGGCAAATATCGGCTGTGATTAAGGCAAAAGGAGGACATAGTAGATATTAAGGGTTTTTTTATGAAGTGTGACATTAAAAAGTTTGTTATTGTTCCATATTTTGTGTGAAATATATGTGTTTTAATAATTTTATAATATAGAATTCGAAACTTAAATATTAAGAAAGAATTCTTTTGGATTTATTGAGAAAATGTAAGTGGTCTAAAACATATTCACAGTACTGTATATATATATATATATATATATATATATATATATATATATATATATATATATATATATATATATATATATATATATATATATATATATATATATACATATATATATATATATATATATATATATATATATATATATATATATATATATATATATATATATATATATATATATATATATATATATATATATATGTATACTCTTGCATGGTAGTTAAAAAGAGTTTCCCATAAACTGTAGTTTTAAAGAGCGCGTTAATAAACCAGACCAGAAAAAGTTTAAAAACTTAAATTTTTTTTTTTTTTATATGATAGACTGCCTGCCCAAACCAAACCCTCAGTCGATGTAGCAGCACTCCTTTGCGAGTCAGGCGATTTGTCAGTCGTTGTAGCAGCACTCCCTTGCGAGTCAGGCTATTTGTCAGTCGATGTAGCAGCACTCCGTTGCGAGTCAGGCTATAAGATAGTCGATGTAGCAACATTTACGCATGTTTTAAAAATGTTTTTTAATAAAACAAAAACACTACTAATTAAAAAAAACTTTCTAGTCGTTATTATTGCGGTTTTTTAAAAAATTTTTAAAAAACAATAAAATTTAATGTACTTCCGCAATAATTTAATTGCTTTGACATTTCGACGACAATCTAATACAGCTTAAGAGACGAGGTAATTAAAATTGTAGTCGAAAGAGACTTTTTTTACATTAAAAGACTCTTTCGACTACACTATAAGGATATATATATATATGTATATATATTAGGGGTAGTCATTTTTAGGAAATTTTTGAAATCGAAGTACATACCCAGCTAAAGTTGGAGCAAATATGCTAAAACTTTGTCAAAATTTTTTTTAGGTCAATCGGGTGACTTTTAAGTCCCCCTCAAGACTAAAGTTGTTAAAAAATTGTACTTCAAAAAAGGAAAAATAGGGTGTGTTCAGGGTGTTTGAGGGGGATTTAAATGAAAAAATTATTTCCTTTTTTTTTTTTTTTTTTGTTATTTGATATCTATATTTTCATTTTAAAAAGGTATGTCATCATGTTTTTTACATATTCTTGGTTAAAACGATATTTACGAAAGGAAAAAATAAAAATTTTATGTTACGCAAGAGGTTATGAAAATCGGCAACGATAAAAAAATTCTTTTAAAATAATGCAGAAGAAAATGTGCTGAAGATCCTGCACTGTATTTTTAAGTCACTAAGAGTTTTTATAAAGAAATTGTACGTGAAATTGCGTTACATTATTTTATTTTTGTAAATAACTTTCGTATTTACTTGATTGTTAATAAAATTGTATTGAAGTTTTTAATTAATTACAGACCATTAAATATATTTAGATTGAATACAAAAATGGAAAAAAAAATTGTAAAAGATATTGGGAAGAGGAAGTTTCTTAGATCAAGCAAAAACAAACTTTTTATCATAAATGAGGCTAAACCAGCTATTACATGTACATATCTAATTTAAAAAAATTGTTTTGAATTTTAAATTTTTTGTTAAAAATTAAAATATTGATTTTTTTTTTCTTAAGGTCTTCAACTCCCTACTGGAATGGATGTTCTTCAACACATTGTCTACAGAAGATCACTACTTCCTCATAATGTTAAGAAGTCAGCAATTTTATCATGCACTCCTTACAAGATTCAGGGTTACAAGAGATGTGAAGTAGATGATTGTGAATGCATTTTAGGCTTAATTAAAAGACCATGGCTTAAAGCGGGATTTCAAGTAATGTCAGATAAAAGTATTATCAAGAACCTTATGAAGATGGACAAGAAGTATTCAGATTTGAGTAGAAATAAATGCAGAGGAACAGCTAGAGACAAGGTTAATCAAGGGGAGTTTATTTCATTTTTGAAAAAGCTGTTTTGGATTGGTTCTACAGATTTAAAGAACCAAATTAGGAAGGATAAAAAACGCTCAGATAATGATAAGCACGATGATTTTTTTGGATGACCAGGAAGGACCGAGATATTTTAGTTTGGAATCAGAAGATAGAAAATTTAGCAAAAAAGTTTTGTGTTGTTTTTATTGGGTTAATTTGACGTTTTTTATTCAAATTTGCTAATTTAACATATATTATTTGTTAATACACATACACTAAGTTAAAACAAATTTTAGGTTTCTGAAGGTGAGAGGAAGAGGACAAGGCTAGAAGACGAATCTCCGAAGATTGATGCTACCTCAGAATTAGACTTAAATTTCACTGACACTAGCGCTGATTCTGATTCAGAATTTGAACCCGAAGTTTGGCATCATAGAAGAGCAGATGATTGCAACATTACTGCCAAAGTCCCTAAGAATATTTTTGATGGAAATGTATCTATCATAGCTACAGCAAATGATATCTCCCCCAATGTCTTACAAAAAGTAACTGGAGCAATTCTTCAAGATTGTGGAGTTGATATCGCAAAATGCAAAGCCAGTGCTTCAACAGCATTAAGGAAGATGAAAAAAACTGCCAAGGATACTGCAGAAGTTGCTAAATTAGATATAAAAAAGGCCGTGGAAAAAAGCCGTTATCCCTGTATAATTCATTTTGACGGAAAGACTTTGTTTGAAATAAATCAGGGAAAAAAACTAAAGAATAAAAGATTAGCTGTGCTCGTTAATATTGAGGGGGTGTCGCATCTTCTTGGAGTACCTGCCTTGCCGTCTTCTTCAGGTGAAAATATGTATATAGGAATCATGAAAATACTAGAAGAATATGACCTCATTTCAAAAGTATGCGGAGTATGCTTTGATACAACTTCAAGTAATACTGGTTCTAAGAAAGGATCACTTACTAGGATTGCAAGAGAGGTTGACAAATACCTTCTTCTACTAGCATGTAGGCATCATATCATTGAGCTTAGAATGGTTCATTTCTGTGAAGCAGTGATAAAAGAGAACAGCGTAGGGCCTGAAAATCCTTTTTTCGTAAAGTTTAAACATATGTTTGAGAACCCTAACTTCAAATACGACGAAAATAACCTGACCTCTCTTGATTGGAAAACCGTGGAAGGAACAGTTTTGAAGGAAGTTGCAAGGAAAACTTTAGATTACTGTGAGACCTATATTACTAAAAAATGCAATATGAGGAATGACCGAAGAGAGTTGGCTGAGCTAACCATGCAGTATTTATCCCCTTCTGCACATTTCAAATTAAAGAAAACTGGAGCTGTTCATCATGCTAGGTTTTTAGGCAAGAGTTTATACTACGTTAAACTTCAGCTTTTATGCAAGCAACTGACATTTGTGCAAGAAAATGATAATCTACGCGAAGATTTAAAACTCATCTGCGAGTTCATAGTATGTTTTTACACAAGGTGGTACCTTCAAGCACATAAAGCAATTCATTCTCCTGCGTCTGATCTTGATGCAATCTTTCAGATGAAAGAGTATAAGAAAGTTTGCTCCAATGCGGAGGCAGTAGACGCAGTGTTAGCATCTCTTTATAAGCATACATGGTATCTTGATTCAACGATTATTCCCTTGGCTCTTTTGGATAAAAATATTTCTATGGATAAAAAAACAGCCATTGCAGATGCTTTGCTTTCCTTCCAAATGCCAGATCCAGATTTTTTTAAACATAGAAGCAAAGATCGAATAGACGAGGTTAATATCATAAATAATATGAAGGTACCAACCCTCTCTATTTTGGTTAATGAGTTTTCATATTTAATTTTTTCAATGATAGGGTTGGATAATCAGAGAGTGAGAGACTAGTTGTCACTTCCACCCCAATATTGGCACACCCAGTCCTCGTTTAAGAATTTTGAAAACTTTGCCAAAATGTTAATTGTTGTCAATGATCATTCTGAACGAGCAATCGGAATGATGCAGAAGTTTGTACAAAGATTCGAAAACGAGGATGACAAGCAGAACAGACTTTTAACTGTCGACAAAGTAAGGTCAACTTTCAAGGTTTTTGGTGTGGGAAAAAGTAATAATACAAAAAAAAAACTATCAGAAAGCCTGATGTCACTCTCTAAATTAAAGAAAAGGAAATTGTAGGCTTAGGAAATTGTTATTCATTTTAAAATACTTATTTCAATTAATGCATAATTTTTGTCTTGATAGTATTTGTAAAGATTTTAATTAAATGGTAAATTACTTGTTTAGTTCAAAATAGCTTGTTTTTTTGGTTGATTTAAGCGGGAATTTTTACGCCTGTCCATCTGAATGAACTTTAAGTATGAAAATACATAATTTACTGATTTCATAACCACTTGCGTAAATTAAACTTTTCATTTTTTGATTTCTTAAATATCGTTTTAATCAAGAATATGTAAAAAACATGATGACATACCCTTTTAAAATGAAAATATAGATACCAAATAACAAAAAAAAAAAAAAAAATGGAAATAATTTTTTCATTTAAATCCCCCTCAAACACCCTGAACACACCCTATTTTTCCTTTTTTGAAGTACAATTTCTTAACAACTTTAGTCTTGAGGGGGACTTAAAAGTCACCCGATTGACCTAAAAAAAATTTTGACAAAGTTTTAGCATATTTGCTCCAACTTTAGCTGGGTATGTACTTCGATTTCAAAAATTTCCTAAAAATGACTACCCCTAATATATATATATATATATATATATATATATATATATATATATATATATATATATATATATATATATATATATATATATATATATATATATATATATATATATATATATATATATATATATATATATATATATATATAATATATATATATATATATATATATATATATATATATATATATATATATATACATATATATATATATCCTTATAGTGTAGTCGAAAGAGTCTTTTAATGTAAAAAAAGTCTCTTTCGACTACAATTTTAATTACCTCGTCTCTTAAGCTGTATTAGATTGTCGTCGAAATGTCAAAGCAATTAAATTAATGCGGAAGTACATTAAATTTTATTGTTTTTATATATATATATATATATATATATATATATATATATATATATATATATATATATATATATATATATATATAGTGACGGGATAGCTCAGATGGTTAGAGCGTTAAAGGAAAAGTGAAAACCCGGACTGTTGAACGATTCAAATCCCGCCACCGCCAACTCAGCGCTTAAGTAGCGCTGAGTTGGCGGTGCGCTTAGTCTTAATGACTATTTGTGGCTGTTCCTATGCTAAGCCAACACTATCTTTGGATATAAGAACATTGTATAGAAAAATATAGCATGAAAACTCAAATAAATAAATAAATATATATATATATATATATATATATATATATATATATATATATATATATATATATATATATATATATATATATATATATATGTATATATATATATATATATATATATATATATATAAGCCTGAAATGTATAATGTAAGGTTATGTTAGCTATAGCTGTTATATATTTGTTCATAAGTTGATCTAGATTATTTTTTACTTGTTTTTTAAAAGTTTTGAACAAACCTTTGGGAAAAAAAATATACTTTTGTGCAAAATATTGAAAAGAGTAAATTTTTTTATTATTCCGCACTTTAGAAAATTTTATTTAGAAATAAGGTAAAACACTTAGTGCTCACCATTAATGGTGAGTACTAAGATTAGAACGCAATACATTGCGTTCTTGATATAATGATAAGAACACAAGGAATTTTGTTCTTATCATTGCTACTTGATTTCTAAAAAATTCTTGTGCCTTTATTTTTAAAGTTACAATTATTAAATTTTTTTCAGTTATAATGCGAACATCTGAGTTTTTTCAGACATGATTTTGGAACTTTTAAGAAATAAGTTTTTATTCTTTATGTTTTTTAGTGACTAAGTGACAAGAAAAATATATAATCAAATATATAATCATAGTGTAAGTCGTGATTTTAATCTTGTGGCTTAATATCAGTTATATAGTTGTCTATTCTATAAAATATTTTAAAAATATTCTTTTTCATTTTTTTTTTTTTTTTTTTTTTTATCTTTCTTTCTTTTCTTTTTTTAGTTCTTTTTCTATAAAATATTAAAACAATATTCTTTTTTTTTTTTTTTTTTTTAGCTCTATTTTGTATTATTAGGTATTTCTCATTTTATTTAAATATTTTACTTTCCATCAGTTGAGTCTTACCTCCTGCAAAATTCACCAGACTTGCTTGCACTTAGTGAAACAAATTTAAGTTCTGCAATTCCTTCTTCAGATGTCAGTGTTGATGGGTACTATCCTTTGATTCGTAAAGACTCCAATAGTCACATGCTAGGTTTAGGGGTATACATACGCATTAATTCCCCTATTTTTCGTGAAATCAGGTTCGAATCCTTTGACCATTCTTTTATGTGCTTTCGCCTAGCACCTCTTCACTCTATCACCTTTCTCTTTGTTTTTTATCGTTCTCCTTCTTCCCATGATTGCACTCTTTTAGATGTTATCTCTGATCAAATTGACCATGCCCTCTTTCTTTACCCCTCTGCCAATATTGTTGTTGTTGGTGATTTTAATGCCCATCACACTGAATGACTTGGCTCAAACACCACTGATCCTGCTGGCACTAAAGCCTTTAACTTCTGCTTTTCTCAATCTCTTACTCAGATAGTTAACTTTGTGACTCGTTTTCCTGACAACCCTAATCATTTACCTTCACTCCTTGACTTATGTCTTGTCTCTGACCCTAGCTTATGCTCAGTTTCTCCCTTTTCTCCCATAGGTGGTTCTGACCATGCAATGATCTCTATAAATCTTTCTTCTCGTAATTCTTTTTTGGGCTCACCTTATCATCGCACCACCTACTACTACCCTAAAGCTGATTGGGATTCCTTTCTTGATTTTCTTCGTGATGGTCCTTGGGCTGATGTTTTTTCTCTCTCAGCTGACAAATGCGCCTCCTACATAACCTCTTGGATTCAGGCTGGAATGGAAGCTTTTATTTCTTCTCGTCGGTATCAAGTCAAGCCTCATTTTACTCCATGGTTTTCTCCTTCTTGTGCAGCTGCTATATCCAATCGTAATCATTTTTTTCATTTTTTTAAAAAGAACAACTCTCTTGAGAACAAACGGCTATTTATTATTGCAAGAAATCGATGTAAAAAGGTGCTTTCTGATGCTAAACTCCATTATTCTCAGTTCACTAAATCTCGCATCTTATCGCAGAAGTTAGGCTCTAAAGACTTTTGGAAAATCTTCAACAGCATTGTTAACAAGGGTAGATCTAACATTCCATCTCTCATTCATGGGACTGATCTTGTTACCTCTCCCAGGGATAAGGCAGAACTGTTTGCAAAGAACTTTTCTTCTAATTCCACTCTTGAATCTTATGGACATTCTCTTCCTTCCATTCCAGTCAAACAGGTTGACCCATTGTTAGACATTCAAATCACTCCGGCTTCTGTTGCTAAAGTCATATCTCAATTAAACTCGTCTACAGCTTGTGGTCCAGACAACATTCCTGTCACAGTCTTGCAGAATTGTTCTCCAGAAATTTCTTCAATTCTCTCTAAACTATTTAACAAGTGTTTGACTGAGTCTTGTTTTCCTGCTTGTTGGAAAATGGCATCTGTGGTTCCAATATTCAAAAACTCTGGAGAAAATTCTGACCCCTCCAATTATCGTCCGATCAGTCTTCTTTCTGTTATTAGCAAGGTATTTGAGTCTTTGATCAACAAATTCCTCACATCTCATCTTGAGTCAAATAAACTGCTGTCAGACAATCAATACGGTTTTTGATCCTCTCGCTCTACGGCCGACTTGCTAACTGCTGTAACTGAAAGATTTTATCGTGCATTAGATGGAGGCGGTGAGGCTAGGGCTATTGCTCTCAACATATCTAAAGCTTTCGACAAAGTTTGGCATGCTGGTCTTCTCCATAAGCTTGCTTCATATGGTGTTTCTGGGAAAGTTTTTGAGATTATCAATGTGCGGTAGTGGTGTAGTGGTAGAGCGCTCGCTTCATAAACGAGTGGTTCCGAGTTCGATCCCCACCACGTCCCTGGTAGTACCGCGCTCAACTCGTTTCTCCGCGCAGCGGCCTTGTTCGTCAAGGTTTGTGTTTCGGAGTTATAGAGTTGAGAGAGGGTTATAGCCACAAATAAGTAGCCTCCTCGTCTGTAGTGGCCTTCTCGGCCTTGAGGAGGTGAATTAAAATAAAAAAAAAAAAAAAAAAAAATCATTTTTTTCTGACCGGTTTATTAAAGTCATCCTTGAAGGCCAACACTCTTCTTTATTTCCAGTAACTTCTGGGGTTCCCCAAGGTTCTATCCTGGGCCCTGTTTTGTTTTTTATCTACATAAACGATCTTCCTGACAACCTTTTATCTAAAGTAGCTCTTTTTGCTGATGACTCAACTTTATACTCCTGTCTTGACAAAAAGTCTTCTCTTTTCGATCGCCTAGAACAAGCAGCTGATCTTGAATCTGATCTCACTTCAGTAATAGATTGGGGTTCACAGTGGCTTGTGAATTTCAACTCTAAAAAAACCCAATTGCTTACTGCAAACAACTACCGTAATATGGTCAACATTCCTATATTAATGAATGGCAATCCTCTTACTGAGTCGTCCTCTTTACGTCTTTTTGGATTATCGCTTACTACTGACCTTTCATGGAAACCATATATACAATCGATTGCTAAATTAGCTTCTGCTAAGGTTGCTTCTCTTTATTGTGCTCGCCATTTCCTTACTTCTGATTCCATTCTCTACCTCTACAAATCTCTTATTCGTCCCTGTATGGAATACTGTTGTCATATTTGGGCTGGTTCTTCTAACGATTCACTTTCTCTTCTTGACAAGGTCCAAAAACGCATTGTAAATGTTGTTGGACCTGGACTATCTGCTAAGCTTGAACCTCTTTCCCATCGTCGTAAAATTGCATCTCTTTCTCTTTTCTACAGATACTATCATGGTCACTACTCAAAGGAGTTATCATCTCTAGTTCCATCAACTAAAATTCGTTCTCGTTTTACTCGTCATTCAGCTAAGTCTCATTCGTTTACTGTATCTGTCCCTGCATGCTCTAAAAACTTTTATTCATCTAGTTTTTTTCCTCGCACTTCAATCCTTTGGAACTCTCTCCCATCTTCATGTTTTCCTGACTCCTACAACCTTCAACTTTTCAAGTCTTCTGTCAACTGTTTCCTTGCTCTATAACTCTGTTCTTTTTTTTTCCTAGTAACTCCCAACTTAATAGTGGTTGCTTGCAGCCTTATTGGGAGTGAATGCAAATAAAAAAAAAAAAAAAAAATTAAATATATTTAAATAATATTTAGTTAAAAAGTTTACAAATTTGTTTTAGTGAAAGTAGTCACAGAAACATGAATTGGTTTCTGTTATGTGGAAATCTTATGCTTTTCTTGGCAAAAAATCTCATTTCTGCTTAATTATCTAAAATTAATGATAATAAAAAAAAGATGTTTAAGAGTTTAACAGCAGCTAGAAGTAACTGTATATATGCACCCTTTTTACTAAACTCCCTTTTTACAGGTATTTGTTATACTTAATTGTTTTATTTAATACATGTTTGATAAAAAGTTCTTATTTTTGTTATTTCATAAGTTTTTGTATTGATATAAAATGTGAGATTTTATATTATCATAATATTTATTTTATCTTGTTTGTTTTTATTAGTGTAGAATAAAAATGTTATGCAAAGATTAATGGTGATTAAAGCCGATTTGTTTGTAAATATATTCTTTTTGTAATAAAAAATACAAACCACTTATTAATTGTGTTAATAAGAATTTAAAATAAAATAGTTCCTAGTTAAGTACAGGTGTATTAGATTTCTCACACTATTTAATATTAATGGAAGATTACAGCATGAGATCAACCTCTGATATTGGCTAAAGCAATTGTTAAAGAAAAACAGCCTAGTTAACAAAGTTTTGACCTATGGTTACTAAAAGTTAATTTAAGTGTTGACTAGCTAATCAATACACTTATAGAGAAAGATAAAATTCACTTACACTTCAATACACTTATAGAGAAAGATAAAATTATAGAAGATCTAAAAATTCCTTCCAATTTAATTATAAGTAGTCTTACAATTTGCAAAGACTAAGGAAAGAAAATAACTTGATTAAAAAAACAAGGAACCTAAACACTGAACATACAAATGAACAGTTACTATCGTTTTACCAAAAGTAAAAATTCAATTAAGATTATTTTCCAAGAATTTTTAATAATAAAAAACTAAAGATAGTTTAATAAAGATATTTAACAAAAATAAAAAAATTTCTGACAAGTCTTAGAAAGAAAAAACAAATACGCAATCGACAACAATATCAAACTCAGATACTACATTAATGCTAATAATGAAAATAAAAAAATACTACTACAGTATCAGGGATCAACAAGTGAAAAAAATTTATCTATTAAAAAATGATGTCATCTTTTGGAAACCAATAATTCTCCAAATCTGCTAAACAATAAAAATACAAACCCTTGGTCTTAGTCTTGGTCTTGAAATCCTAGAGTATTGGTCTTGGTCTCAGACCTCTACTGTCTTTTATTTCTTGATTCTCACAAAAAATATCAACTCAATGATTGGATTAGTTATTAATAACAAACCGTAGATCGCTGCAATTTCCCTCTCTCAATGAGAGTTTGTTGCATTGCACAGTGACACAGATTAACCTAAAAATGGCAACAAAAAAAAGTGAACATTTTATTGTTTTTAGACTAAAAGTATTAAAGTAAATTTATTTTTGTGTAATTTTAAAGGGATATATGTGTAAAAAGTTAAATTTATTGCAATAAAATTATAAAAATTTAAGGTCTATCTTGTAAGCAATCTTATTTTTCCACCTCCATACAAAACTTCATTACTGCAGTATTTGCTGCAACCTCCTGCTCCTTCAGGAGATATTTTAAATAGATTCATGCATAGCCCTTTTTCGATTTAAAAGCAATTTTCAAACGTTTGTGTAATCATATACAATCTAGTATTTACTTTTTATTTTGAAAATTAAAGAAGTCTTATAAATATTAATAATAATTATTTGGTGATAAAGCAATTAAGCTTTAAAAGTAAAATAAAAAAGGTTGGATCTATTATTAAAACTTCGCGAATCTAAAGCAAATAACAAGCCACTTCCTGAAATACTCATCGAACTTCTATTTAGTTCATCTAGTTTATCTTTAGGAATTAGGGTAAAACACCCAGTGTTCGCCAGGTGTTCCAGTTGTCGCCAGTTTTCCATTAAAAATCATGCATGTCAAAAACTATTTGGTTGAAAGTGCTGAAATAGTGTCTAGAATGAACGCCCATCATTGCTTTATATTTGACGAAAGTTTGACAATCGTAACTAAATAAATAAACTCTTAGGATTTTTTTGAATGAAAGTGTGTCACAAAAAAACCTTAATCCTTAAAATTTTTTTTCAGAAATCTTTTTAAACAATTACATAAAAAACATATTAAATATCAATTCAATTTCACTTTTTTTATTCCAGATTGATGAGAAGAACAAGGAGAAGATTGTACCAGGGCTATTCTTGGAAAAAAATTAAGGGGGGCAGGGTTAGGGGGGTGGGGAAGACTGGAACACATAATAGTACCTAGTCCAGTCTTCGCCAGGTTAATTTTTTTTCTTTAAAGTGGCGTATATGGGCTTAATGGTAAAATATGGACTTTGACCCATATGCCAGTCTTCGTTAGGTTGAATTTCGTTTAAAAACAAAAAAGTTATAGGCGTTTTAAATTTGTCCAGTGTTCGCCGCCCCCCTTTTGCCAGTGTTCGCCATCGGGAACAAATTATTATTTTTTATTTTTTATTAAATGTATAAATATAGCTAAGTATTTATTTTTTATTTCAGAAGTAGGTTATCTGTTAACCTAGTTATTAAACAATACTAAAGCAGTCCAAATAGGGCTATATAACTATATTAAATTAATTTATATATCAAGTTAAGACTTATAATAAATAGTTTCAATAAGTACCTAGGTACATAATATCCATTTAGAATTATGAATACTAGTAAATCAAAGTCCAATAAGGGTTCACGTATGTCTACAAGAGATTCTTACACTGAGGAGGACATTAGAAAGGCAATTGAAGAAGTAAAAAGGTAATAAAATTAGCATGCATTAATAGACATAATTTCAATGCTTAAATTGCTTATTGTGTAGTCATAATAGCCTAATGCCTATAATACATTTAAAAAAAATACATAGGGTAGGGCTGCCTAGTACTGATAAAGTAGTTGCATACCTAAATTATACTGTGCAATATTTCAGTGGTGAAAGAACTGCTTCAGAGGCATCCAAGTTGTACAATATCCCGCGCACCACATTGAGGGACAAAATAAGTGGTAAAGCGCTTGTTGTAAAAAAGATGGGCCCACAAACCTACCTCACTGAAGCAGAAGAAAATGTTTTGGTGAATTTTATTGTTAGCGCACAGAAACGTGCCCACCCTGTTACCAAAGAAACCATTATGTCATTGGTAACTAGTCTTCTTTCGGATGAAAGGTTACTTATGGAAGTAAATAGAAACCGTCCCTTTCAATTTGGAAGATCAGGGACTCGACAGCCAGGGAATAAATGGTAAGTAGGTTGTGCCTAAGTTATAAAAGTTGACCTATAGGTAATTAAAATAAAAAAAAATGTTATAATTTTAATAACGAGTCATAAGATTTTTCATTACAAATTAACTTTATAAAAGATTTGTAGCTTAATAAATAAAGCTTATAACAATTGATACAGACATAAAATTAGTCTAATAGAAATAGCCTATACCTAGTCGACTAATTTAGCCATTATTTTCTAAGGTATAAGCTATTTCTGTCGAGGCATCCTAACATAGTTGCTCGCATGACTGAATCATTAAGTGCGAATAGAAGAAATGTCTCACAAGCTGTCATACAACAATGGTTTGCTGATATAAGATCGTACCTCTCTGAACATGACCTTCTTGAAATCCTTCAGAAACCCCAGCCTAACTATAACATCGACGAGTCGGGGTTCCAGTTTTCACCCAAGGTTTCCAAAGTTTTAGCTGCTAAGGGTTCTAAAAATGTACCGTATGCGACATCTTCAAAAGAAAAGGAAAGAATCACTGTTCTAGGTAAATTTTCATTTTATTCTTTGCTCATTTTTATGTTATTTCTGTAATGCTTTTCTTTTAATGCTGCACTATAAATTGCTTTTTTTTTAACATATCTCTGAGCATGATAGCTTAGCATGATACTAGCTTGGCCTGCTTGCTAACTTTTAGTTTTTTTGCACTTTTCTTTGCAGCTAACGTTGGTGCCGATGGCTCTCTCCCTCCACCGCTTATAATTTATCCTAACCTTCGTATTCCTATGAATGTATACGAAGCCATTCCATCCAGTTTATTTGCAATCGGAAAAAGTGAATCGGGATATATTAACCATCAGGTGCTTTATGAGTATCTCACTAATGCATTTGACCAATGGTTAACTCAACATAATATACAAAGACCAGTTATAGTTTGGTCCGACAAACATGAATCGAGGCTGCAATTTCATTTAGTTAAAACCTTAGCAGACCTGCAAATAATGCTTATATTGATCCCACCAAACTGTACCCATTTCATGCAGCCTTTGGACGTAGGATTGTTTGGCCCTATGAAAAATGAATGGGCTAAGTGTGTGAATAGGTTCAGGGCTGCCAACCCAAATGAATACGTTACCAAAGATTCCTTTGCAGGAATGTTCCTGCCAGTGTACACAAGGGTCATGAGTAGAGAGAAAATAGTAAAATCCTTTAAAAAATGTGGCATACAGCCATTTGATCAAGACTCTCCTGATTATACCAAGGTCACTCTTGAAGAAGCCCACTCCGGAGACAGTCGAATATTTGAAGGAGTGCTTCAAGACGGTCGTGTTGAAGCTTCCACTCAAGTTGAAAATTTTTTTCATGTCAATGTTGCAACACAGACATCCTCTGACATCATCTTGTCTGGTAACACAAGTACTAGCACAATGGAAGGACTGGGAGCAGGCCCAAACATTCACCTGTAAGTGATAGCTAGGTATTAGTGTCTAACATTTGTATCAATATAAAATAATAAGCCCAGCTAGCTAGTTAGTAGCTATTATAAACCAATTTTTATTTATAGCTATTACAGGGTAATAAAAGTTAGTAACAATTATAAACTAATTTTTATCTATATTACAGGGTAATAAAAGTTAGTAACTATTATAAAACAATTCTTATTTATATTACAGGATAACAAAATCATTTGATGACTTTGTCATCGATTCGCCACGATTTGATTCACTCAGAATGGTGAAGAAGCAAAATTGGTTCCAATATGTCTTTGATCGAAATCATCGGCAAGAGGATGCACCAGCTGTTGATTCCCTTGTTGTTTCCCCTGTTTATTCACCTAGTATTCATTCTAATTCAGATGCACAGTGTTCCTCAATGTCAGCCCCTACAAACAGGACTAGGCCTATGTTGGTAGAACCTCAAAGACAAGCAAGACCACCTGCGATTAGTCCTGCTCTTAAAAATCATAAGTGGTTCCCTTCTCCAAAAAAAGCTATCGGTTAGTGTATTAACTAGGCTACCTATATTTTAAATTTATTATTATAATTTCCATTTTTAATCTCTGTAAAATTACCACATATAGCCTATGGTCATAAATTTACTTTATTATAACCTGATTATTATTTTAATTTTCATATGAAAGGTTCGTACAGTGGCTCAAGAACTTCATGCCACATCTGTAGTGACTTCAGATAAAGTTGTCTCGATGCTAGAAGGTATTAGGCTTGAAAAAAAAAAACAAGAACAAGCAAAAGAGGAGAGAAAAACAAAGCGCTTAGTTGCTGAATTAGCTAAACGCAACAAGCCAAGTGTTCCAGCTAAAAGAAAGTTCCTGCCAGCAACAAAAATGGCAAAGAAGAATCCAAAAAAATTTTCCATTACATAAAAAAATTATTCAACAATTATTTAAATATATTTTTAATACCAAATAACTAAAAAAAAGAACTCATTTTTTAAAAAGTCTGAGGGTGGCAAACACTGGAACAGGTTCAAAAAATTGCCTGGCGAACACGGGGACCGTTCCAGTGTCCGCCACTTTCAACTTTAGGGGGCTATAGCCCCCTTATTAATTATCGGAGGTCATTCATTCTAAGTACAGCGTATAGCCCAACTATCCATCTGTACGATAAATATTTAAGATCAATCATTTATTGAAAAACGAGTGAGAAAAAAATATTTTAATGGGGCAGGGTAGAAAAAAGTGACGAATACTGGGTGTTTTACCCTATTTTGGAATTTTTTATCGAAAAAATTCCAAAATAATTCCTGAAGATAAACTAGATGAACTAAATAGAATTGTACAAATTTTTATTTTAAAAGTGAAAATAAGCTTAAAAAATATTGTAGAAACTATGAAAAGTTTATAAAGTACAAAAATAATTGGTTAGAAAAAAAATCTCATTGATTATAGTGTGTCTTTTCATTCATAACAAGGAAGACCAATTAAGGATTGGGGAGATCAGTTAAAGAAGACCAATTAAGGAATGGAGAGCAGATGAAAAAGATTAAGCTTAAATTTTGAAAAAAACTTCTAAATGTGTTGATGTAGCTCAGATGAGAAGGATTCCTTGACTTAAACAACTAGATGTTTGATGATGAAACTAGAGGAGGCTCTTGCTCTGAAAACACAAACTTAAGTGATTTACTAAATGTTGAGAATTTCAGCCATTTCTCACAATGTAAAAATATATCTTAGTCTTAATAAGCTTGGGGAAGAAAAACTGAAATGTCATTATGAAGGTTTTCAATTTACTGAAATGTCAGTAAGATGCTCATTACAAAGTATGCTAAATCATACAGCTACTACATACAGGTTAATACATACAGATTATAGATATGATTGATTTAAAGGAAAGTTGTAAAGTTGAGATGAATGGAATTTTATATGTGAAAATTGGGTTTAATGAAGTCAAAGTATTTCCTAACAAAAAATTTGATAGCCTTAATTTTACTGAAGAATCAAATCAAGAAGATAGCCTGTTTAGCACAGAAATTGTACCTCTTCTGTTTAAAGTTCAAAACATTGACTTTTAGAAAAATTCTAAAAGTACTAGCTGCCATTTTTGTAGACCTCTTCACCTGCAATATAAAAAAAAAGACATCAGAGTTGTACAAAGAAGAAGAAACTGATCTTCAAACTCAAATGAGTCAGTCAAAACCCTTTTCAACAGGTTTGAATATTGCTGGTACAATAATACCTATTAAGGTTACTTTTAAAATTGATAAGACATTGTTTGATGGAAAATTAATAAATACATTGACTGATTTTTGACAGAATTGACTGACACAAAATCAACTCAGTCTTGTAATGTGTATGGTTGTAAGCCTCAAGAGATGAATTATATAGATAAAAATTTGTCAAAAAAAAAATTTCAACTTATCGCGCAATATTTTTAAAAGAATTCAAAGAATTTTTCAAAAATTTTGCTTTGGAGTTGAAGTCGGAGTTGGAGTCAGGGTCAGAGTCAGAGTCGGAGTCGGAGTTGGAGTTGGAGTTGTACTCAAAAAATTTCAACAACTGGAGTCGGAGTTGTTACTTTTTTTTTACAACTCCACACCCCTGGTGTACCATATTGATAGTAATCAATTTAAAGTTTAATGTACTGGTACAGCTAAAATAATATATAATAGTTAATAAATATGGTTGGTATATAATGCTACCCAGTATTCATAAAGTTCTGATACATGGTTGCTCCATCTAAATGTGCGCATTTAGCAAAATTGTGCGCGTTTAAGTGTAAGAGCATTTGTGAAATAATAAAATGTTATATTTTGGGTCAAGGAATTTTTATTTTTTTCTAAAATTATTATTAACAAATTTTACTTAATATAAAATAAAAATCAGTTATACGCCAGTCTAATAAATAAAGAAAGAGTACGAAGCTGGTCAACAGATAGAACCTGTTTACCCATTACATGTGTGAGCATGAGATTTATTTTGTTGGACTCCTTATAACCTAAGTCCTGATCCCAGTCTTTTAAAAACTTTTTAAGTCTTGGGTTGATTTTTTATGTCTTGGTCTTGAAGTATTTTGTCTTGGACTTGGTCTTGGTCTTGAGCCCAATTGTCTTGGTCTTAGTCTTGGTCTTGGCCTTTACTGTCTTGACTACATCTCTGATTATATCCAATCAAATCAATGAAATGAATATAGAATTCAATATAAACAACAACTCCACTAACTAATGGAACAATTTTTAAGTTTAACATCATAGATTTTACAAACACTGCATCACCAAAAAAAAAGAAAAAATACACATCAAGAATAAAGGCAACCATAAAAGGTTTAATCAAAAATTACATAAAGATTACACCAAAACTAAAGATTTATCAACCTTCAAAATGCTTAAAAAAAAAAAAAAATTTATAAACTAGGAAATTAAAAAATAACAAGTTATTTGAAAAACATAAAATCTAAAGATTTAAATAACTTCAAATATTAAGGCTTTTACTCAAAAATTATTAAAATTAAAGCAAGCTTTGAATACACTTTTTTCCCTGATATATACTTTACAACATCAAGAAGGACTACTCAAAAATCAAAAAGTCTTTATTTTACAACAAATTCTTCAGTACATTCAAATCTAATTCTGATTGAGGATTAATTGGTTCTTATAACTTTATTGATATTAATGATCGTTTTATTAACTTAAAACATCTAATAAGATTAACATTAAGTTGAATTTCTCATTTCATTCAATTAAAAAATATGAATCTGTTAATACAATTAAATATTTAAAAGAAAAAAGTGGCTGTGGTTAGCTGTACTAAGAAGAAAAGTGGCTGTGGTTATTCAAATATTCCAAATTAAATTCTAAAAAAAACAACAAGATTAAATTGATCGCTAATCCATTTATAGTTATTTTCAACAAAAAAATTGACAACAATATCAAACTCAGATATGACATTAGTGTTAATAATGAAAATGCTGCTACAGGATAAGGAATCAACCAGTGAAAAAAAGTTTACAAATAGAAACAAGCATTATTTAAACTAAATTTTGAATAGCTAGTATTATGCCACTTTATAAACAGAGAGATAAAATTCATAAAATCAATAATTATAGAAGTATTACTATAATATCTCCATTAGGGAAAGTGTTTGAACAAATAATTGCCAAAAAAAATCACTACATACTTTGAGCAAAATAGTTTACTCAAAGATAAATATAGCTCGATTTCAGATTCAATCACTCATGTGAAACTGCGTTGCATGATGAGTAAAGATGAAAAAATTTGAAAAAACTCTTTACTCTATTATTATTTATTAATTTCAGAAAAACTTTTCGACTTCTTAGATTCTATATTACTTATATTAAAACTAAAGCATTTTGGTTTTTACACAGATGCTTTGAACTTAATAAGCAACTTTTCACAATAGAAGAATGTTTACTAAAGTTGACAATGCACAATCTAATTAGGTGAATATTGGTTTACCATAGGGTCCAAGTTAGAACCTATACTTTTTTTAGTTTTTATCATTAATATTCTTGATTGTTTAATTCTATATCAATCAATATTATTTGCAAATGATAAGAGTTTTTATACTTATAGCCAGTGGTACAAATATTAACCAACTAATAAGGAAGACTCAATCAGCATTAAATAAGTTTGCTGAATGCTGCTATGTTAATAAACTGGACATCGGGATAAAACAAAAGCAATGATATTAACAAGCAAACTTACAGTTAAAACAAAACTGCCAACATCTATTATAATAGACAACAAGTTCCTTAACAGGTGATAAGTATTTAATTGGAATGAGTTTAAAATATCTGTATGGCTTAACAAAAAACAAAAATGATAACATTTAAACAAAGTCTTAAAACAAATTTAATGCTTATTTTATTTTTTTACTCAATCATCTTCTATAGTTCCTTTTTCGATGTACACAACCTAGAAGACACTTCATCCCTCATGCACTTGTACACAATCTACAAGAGACTTCACCTCTCTAACATGCACTTGTACACCATATACGTAAGACTTCATCCATAATGCTCTTATACACAGTATACAAGACTCTTCACCCTTCTAACATTCACTTGTATGGGTTTCATATTAAATTAAATTACATTTTATTATTTCTCCTTCTGAGTTGATTAGTATCTGAAGCACACCATTTATTGTTGTAAACTTTCCATTTCAATTGAGACCAGAAATCCTCAATAGGTCTACACTTTATGAGATTTGCAAGGTTTTTTTTCCTTGGGTACTATTGGAACATTGTTTTCAACTAAATAAGCTGTCTAAAACTAGATAATCATCATTTTTGCATAATGGGCACTAGCTAAATTTGGCCAAAATATGTATTGTGATCAGAATGGTGCTGTTTTAAAAATGGTACCATCTAGTTTATAAACATTCTTTCTTATACACTTATATACATACTTTATTTAACAAATGATTCAGTAAATTTTCTACACCAAAATGCTATCCAAATTAGTACTTTAGTTACAAACTTATGAGGTTTTGCATATTTTATTGATGGAGAAGCATATGTTTTATCATCAGTATATAAGAATCCATTTCCATTAATAGTTAAATGTAAAAGTGTAAAATAATCCAAATCATCCAAAACCTAATCACAGTTCTTTTAATTCTTGTAAAACATGTAATTCTTGTAAAATTTGTAATTCATATAAAGGAAACGA